TGACTTCTGGAGCCATCAAGAGAGGCATGCTGCTTCCTTGTTGCTAGAACATCCATTCTTGAAGCACTGAGTCTCTATATAGTGTCTGAATTCTCTGAGCTGCCATGCTGCAAGGAAGCCCCAGGCACACGGGGAGGCCACACATAGGTGCTCAATCTACAGCCCCCGTGAGCCCAGCCTTCGAGCTGCCTGCCCCATAGCAGATGCCAGGGCAAAAGCTTCCAGATGATTCCTTCCTCCATAATAGAATCCAAGGTACTACCAGCTTTTGAGTCCTCACATCTGAGGCTTCACATCTTCAGGTAAGAGATGTATTAGTAGTCAGGGTTTTCCAGAGAAACAGAACCAATAGGAGGAGGACACACACACACACACACACACACATAATTATAAATATAATCAGGGTTTATTAGATTGGCTTCCCTGATCAGAGACTGGATAGTCTCACAGTGGCTGTCTCATGGCTGGAGAAGCAGGGAAACCAGTAGATGCTCAGCCCAACAATCTGGAAGCCTCAGAGCAAGAGAGAGGCCAATGATTTGGAGCCCTGGTCCAAAAGGAAGTCCTGAAGGCTCCCTGGAGCTGCTGGTGCAAGTCCACATTCACAGGCTGAGGAATCTAGAGTCTGATGATCACAGGCAATGGAGGCAGTAAAAACCGCACTCACCCGTGAAGGCCAGGCATGCTCCGGAGAGCCTCACCCCTCTGCTCCTTTGTCCATCTGGGCAGAGTCTATGGATGGTGCCGCCCACATGGAGGGTGTGTCTTTCCCACTAGTTCCTGTCCCACCTTTCCGCTCTACTCTGAAAACGCCTTCACAGACAGACACACCCACAAGAGTGCTTTATCAAATTGTGAGGTATCACTCAACCCAGTCAAGTTGACAACCAAAATTAACCATCCCAAGATGCAAACCATCTCCAGAGTGTCCTGTCTGAGTCCCTGTCCCACTGGATTCATGATCACAGTAAAATATTATGTTGTGCCACTAACTTGGGGTGGTTTGTTATGTAGTGATGGGTAATTGCTAACCTGGAACCAACTCTCAGGCAGTGATGGCGGGCACTGTGAATTTTGCAGACCCCCTTGGGGTCCCCAGGGAATGAGCATGAGGGTTTGGTAAGCATCCTTCTAATTTCCTGGTCAAATCTTGGATCAGCCAATACATTTACTGTTGGATTTGTCTTGGCTTCAGCATTAGAAATTTCTCTGCTTTGTGCACAACCAGCGATACGAAAAATTGCACTCTATATGTGTAATATGAATTGCAATGCATTCTGCTGTCATATATAACAAATAATAATAATAATAATAATAATAATAATAATAATAATAATAGAATTCCAGGTTATGAGACCTGGAACTTGAAATGGCCCTAGGACAGGGAGTATGTGCAGTTCAAAAGAGCAGGTCAAGGACCACACGTATGGTGACAACTTGCCCTAACTGGGAGAGGCAGAGCAAAGGAGGAGAGGTTGATGGGACAATTAATAGATGTGCTCTGAGAAATAGGTCAGGGCAGGCCAAGCGTTTAGGATTAATCCTTGAGGAACCTGCAGTTGGGAAAAATGCTTAGCTCATCCTGTCTTTGGTGAAAGAGTTGACTGCCAAAATAAGTTAAAGGGCTCAATTGCTATATTTTGCATAAGCTTGAATTTAGTTAAAATGACTTTTTTTTTTTGCCACAACTGGCATATTAATTTAGTATATACTTATTTTCCTTTGAGAAGCAGAAGATGGTTTGATGAGAAGATTATGTGCTGCCTTGCTATATTCCTGTTGGAAACAGGGTCCTGAGGATGTGGCTGAGGCAAGCTGTGGGAGCAGCAGCAGGACCTGCTGCCTGGGACATAGCATGGGGGTTGATGCTTTCCTGTCACCACCTTGAAACTCCTAATAATTTTGGGCCATGGGCCGATGTTTTCATTTGGGGCCCACAAGTCAGCTGCTGCTCCTGGTGGGCCCAGATCAGGGTGGGCTCTAGCTTGGAGGTCAGCAGAGGTCTGCTCACACATTAGAGGAACATGTGGTTCTAGAGGGGGTGGAACCAAGGAGAATGGTTTAATGTCACCAAAAGGCAGAGGGGTGTGGTAATAGAGGGCGTGGCCTCCGGGCCACCTGAGGCTTAGACAAAGACCTTGAGCACAGCCTCAGTGAAACAAGTCAGAGGCCCAGGGTTCTTGGCTGACTCCACTCTTATGGGTGTTTCCAGCTGATAGAGCTCTGTCCTTGTCCTACAAGAGCCAGAGTCATTCTTTCAAGGAAGTCCTTGGCTGGCTGGGTGGACCGTGCCATCTGGCTGGACCTGGGGCCTCTTGGGGGCATCTGAGTTTGTAGAGGACCAGCCAGGCGGAGGATGAGCACTGCCAGGCCACCTGGCTTCTGGGGCCCCCTTCTCTTGGTCATGGTTGGAGGTTGGGCTGAGAGTGCCTGCTGCTCTCAGATCTCTCACCTGAGCAGGCCTGGACACCAGGGACAGTCCCCCTTCCCATGTGCACATCATGCTCAGCCAGATTCCACCTGCCTGGACAGAGCTGGTCTTCTGGGCCGGGGATGCCCTGTTCCCTGTGGAGAAGGCTGGTCACACAATAAACAGAGGCTGAGTTCACGAGGCCACTCAGTGTCCGACCAGGTGGGGCTGCTTGTAGCTTGAGGGCCACGCAGTCAAAAAACACACAGTGCCAAAAATACCAGAAGCTGTCTGTCTGTCATGAGGACGTCCACCTCCTCGTGAGGCACCCCTCAGGCTTCCAGGCATTGCCCTCTGGCTCATCTCCCCTTGTGACTGGGTGTCTTGAGAACAGGCGCTTTGTCTTCCTCTGCTGTCTCCTGGCCAGGCCTGGGGTTTGAGTGATGTCTAGAGGCAGGACGAGCAATGAGGTGAGTGCTGAGCAGGAGAAGCCAGGGGCCACCAGGGAAAGAGGCTGGGAATGGGGGCCTGCGCGGACCCCTGGAGGTGGGCCTGCAAGAGAAGGAATGGGTCCCCGGGATTCTCAGGGCAGCTTTCTTAGGGGTCAGGCTCAGGTCCTCTTGCCATCCCCTTTGGGGTGGGTGGCGCTGCTGTGGCCCAAAATCATTGTTTGGGGCAAGGGACACAAACTCAACATGTAGAGGGGGTGTGGAATTGGGATCTGTATTTCCTAGGCTCTCGGTCACGCAGCAAGTACCAGTGAGCACCACTGAATGCACAATGTCATCGGACAACTAGAGGACAGAAAGCAAAGCCAGTCCCCAACTGCCCTCTGCGTGCTTGGGGGCGGCTCTGTGCGTGAGGTCCTCTGGGTTCTGACTGGCTGCCTTCTGATCCCCTTAAAAATGTCTGTCTGGGTGGACGGTGCCAAGCTCGGCCTTCCTTTCTGCCTTCTCAGAGGCAGAGAAGGTCTGGCCTCTCTTCTGTGGGACTGTGGGTTTGACGGCCCCTAGACTTTCATGACCTAGTGCCTGTGGGCAGGTCCCCACTGGGGCTTGTGTGGTGACAGCTCTGAGCAGGTTTGGGTGTCATGGTGGTGGGAGGGACAGTGTGAGGTTCCACTTTCCTCTGTCAGCAGCCCCCAGCCCACAGGAATTTCCCACCCTTGTATGAGTTCCTGTGGCCGCTGTAAGCCAACTCCCGCCCACCTGTGGTCAGTCATGCCCGTGGAGCTCTAGAGGGCCTCAGAGCTGTGCGCCTAAGGGAGCCTCTGCGGAAAAGTCTGTTTCCTTTTCTTTTCCAGCTTCTTGAGGCTGCCCACATCCCTCGGCTTGTGGCCCCTCCCTCCATCTTCAAGGCCAGCAGCTCTCTTCTCGGAACTCCTGCCTCCCTCCCGTGATTACCTCCAGCTACCCCTCCCCGGAGAACCCAGGCTAATTTCCCATCTCAAGATCCTGGCCTTAATCAGACCTGCAGTTTCTTCCTTTTGCCACATAGATGACACATAGGTCCCAGGGATTAGGATGTGTATGACTTTGAGGGTGGCATTGTTCACCTACCCATCTACCCTGGTCACCTACTGCAGTGCCATTGACTAGCAAGAAGAACTTTGTCTTTCTTCCCCCTCCCTTCTTTCCTCTCCTAAAATTTAGAGTTTTGGTTTTTTGAGTAGGAGATACCTTCTCATGATTCAAAAATAAACAGAACTAAGGGCCGGGGTGAGCGCGATGGCACCCGGGTTCCCACAGCTGACTGGGACAGGTGGCCAGTGGCCAGGGCATTTGGTGGCTCCCTCAAGGAGGAGGGAGGAGACACTGCCCCTCCCAGTGTGCAGTCCAGGCAGCTCTGCTTTGTCCCCAGCCCTCTCCGTTGTTTCCCCTCGCTCTCCCTAGGCTCCCCTCCCTCCGAAACCCAATGGACTAACAAACAGATCACAAAACAACACAAACCCCCAACACAATACAGAGAGGCGTCTACTGAGAAATCCTGCTGCCAGCCCTGTTCTCATCCACCTCGTTTCCCCAGGGAAACAGCGGGTCTCTGCGGCTCCCTTCCTTCCTTGTGTGAAGCTCGGCCTCCTCTGCCTGTGGTCGGTGCCTCCTTTCTTCCCTCACTCTACCCTGCAGGTGTCCCTGCTGACACAGAGTGCCCTCCTTCAGATCCTTGGCTCGCCACCCCCTGTGTGGCTGTGTGGCTGTGCCCTGTGTGGCCGCCACCCTTTCCTGTTGGTGGGAAGCTGGAGACATGTGTTGTTACAGTTGACAACACATCTGTCTTCCCTGTGTGCATAGGTTCACCTTGGGAATAACCCCCCCAGGAGCTGGACCTGCGTAAAGATGCTGGTAACTGTCTGGGTTTCCCCATAGCATCTTCCTATGGTGGCGCCATTTTGCAAGCCCATCGTTACCATGGGAGAATTCCCCTATGGCCTCCCTGAGAGGGAGTGGACAGTTTAGATTTTAAAAAACCTATTGGTACATAACTCTGGCACCCCGGTGAGCTTCCCTTGCACTGGTCATGGAGTCTTTTTGAGGTGCCCACATGTCCTACCATCTGTGTGTGTCCCCCCAACCTTCCAGGAAGCAGCACACGGGGCTGGACACTGATGAGTTTATTGTCGGCCCCATGGGGCTCTCAGGTTTCCAGACAGAACTGGGGTGGCCTCACACAGGCCTGTAGGTCCCATTGAAGCTGAAGGGGGGAGGCTTCAAGCAGTCCTGATCCTCAGGGATCCAGCGCTGTATGTAGTTGGGACCCTTATCCCGGGGCCACACAATCACGGTGTCTCTGGATGCCAGGGACGGGTCCTCTGGGAAAAAGTTGAAGGGCCGGAGCAGGAAGCCCACAGAGTTCCCAGGTGTGGCCGTGTTGGGGATGTCCTCTGAGTGAGGGATGTGCAGGAAGCCCACGGTCACCCAGGCCACCAAGTCCTGTGGGAGAGAGGGTGGGCATCAGTGGGTAAGTAGTGTCCAGTATTGGTCACTGTAGGTCATGCTGGCCTGGGGCGTTTTCAGTTGTGCCTGGATACTTCCAGAGACACCCTGAAGCTCCCTTTTGAAGAGATGGGCAGATGGGCAGATGCGTGAACATGCCCTCCACACAGCCAGCTGTGCTCCTGGGATGGGGGGCAGGCTAGGACTCTCTGGGGGTAAGGTGGTCAGAGGGGGGCAGGGGTGGGACTGGGCAGTACCTCATCCTCAATGTTCTCATTGTTGTGAAGAAACTCCTCGAAGACCACAGGGGGGTTCCAGGGGTCGTTCTGGTGGTAGATGCTGCTGCTGCACTTCTCCGACTCCCGGTACTTGGTCACTGCCAGGGAGTACCTGCCAGGCCGAGGAGAAACTGGGTGGCTCCAGGGGCAGAGGCGGCCTCTCAGTGCCTCTCGGGGAACATCCTCCAATGATGGAGGACGTTGCTGCTTCCCCATGCCTGCTGCCCATGGAGGGCCTGGAGTCCCCTGGAGCTCTCCACCCCTCCCTGAGTGCACCGAGATGCCACCCAGACACAACCCAGAGACACAGAGCCTCAGGGACAAGCACAGACAGACACAGGCACGGAGGAGAGCCCTGGCCCTCTCCAGCCTCCCTGATCCTCTCACCTGGCCCAGGTGATGGCCCGCTCCTCCTGCCAGCCGAAGGGCAGCACCTGTTCAGCCGAGGAGTAGATCTGCAGGCGGTAGCTGCGCTTGTGGCCCCAGGGGTTCTTCTTGGGGTTGGTAAAGAGCAGGTGCCTGGGCAGAGGCCGTCCGAGGCGGAAGGCTGCCTGGCGCTCCCGGGAGTATTGCCTCTGCTCGAGTGTCGGCTGGATCAGGCGGTGTCTTGGGCTCCAGGGGTTGGTGATGTTCTCTAGCTTCATCTCTAGTGTCTCAAAGCTGTTCTTGGTGCCTGGGGGTAGGAGGGGGGGTAGGGGAGAAAGGGAATCAGGCCCCTGGAACAGAACCCCTGCCCCTCAGGATCTCCACCCTGGACCCATCCAACAGCCAACACCAGGAAAAGGTGCTGGCGCATGCACTGGGCTAGCTGCGGGAGGCAGGAAGGGACGGTAACAATCCTCAAAACCAGAGGAGCTAGGGGACAGCTCCTGGGTATGTCAGGGCAACTGGGGAATTCCAATGTCATGTGCAGCTTCTCAAGGGTTGTGCTCAAGATCACTGGCAGTGTCTATGACCCCAGAGAAGGACACCATCTTCCTCCAGGCACAAGAGACTGTGTCCAGTGCTGTCTGGGCACAGGGGCAAGTGGGACTGAGTGGGTAGAAGCTGCCCATCTGGTCTGGATTACCTTGTGCTGTTATGGGATTTGATGTCGGGCACTGCACCGGTTCTCCTGCGGTGACACACTGAGTATCCCCAGGTGGCCCTGTACCCACCTCAAGGTGTCAGGCAGTGACATTCCTCCCCTACTCCATGCACACCTTCCTACTCAGCCCCAGCACCAGGACAGGTCTGCATAGTGGCACCTGAGTGACTCTCGGGCTCTATTCACTTAGACTGTGTTTCAGAGGCACACGGGTCTCTAGCTGCGTGTTTCACAGGAGCTTGCTGGGCAGACGCCCCTGGTCCTATCCCCGGGGGTCCTAGTGCTGTCTCCTGGGTGCCTCCTGTTGGTTGTCTGCATGTTTGACCCAGAGCTTCTGATTGGGGTCCTACCTGCCACATCCAGGTCGACGCGGTAATGCACCAGGTGTGTGTGCATGTTGCCGAGCAGGTGGGTGTGCAGGCGCATGCCGTGGAGCAGCCCCTCGGGGGTGTAGAAGGTGGCGTGGACGTAGCCAGTGGCATGCATCTTGGCCTCCATCACCCCATTAGGGTGGAAGATGAAGTCCCAAATGTAATCATAATTGTAGACGGTGGAGGTCGTCCGCAGCACCAGCACCTGACCCTTAAGACCTGCGTAGAAGTTGAAGCCACCATTGAAGTTGGAATTGAAGTGGCGCCGGAGAGGCACCCCTGTGGGCATCTCAAAGAGGCAGAGGGCTCGCGGATAGAGGACAGGGTCATCTGCATCGAAGTAGTGGAAAGTGTCCAGGAAGGTGGCAGTCTCTGGGCAGTCGATGCCAGGGGCTAGCTCGTGAGTGACGCTGCCCAGGCCCCAGCCCACGTCCATGTACTTGGTCTGCATGCCCGCAGGTGTGTGTCCTCCATACATTGCCACTGCCTCCTGCACGCTGACCTCATAGGCAATGCGCTCGCCCCCAAAGTGCAGGTTGAGGACCTGCAGCCCTGTGGAGGAGTGCAGCCGGAAGGCGAAGCTCCAGCCGCCATAGAGCACCACGTTGCCGTCCAGCAGGTAGCGGGCGCCGTTGGGCTGGACCACCCGGGGGCCGCCCACACTGATGGATCTGGGGAAGTCCCCACGGGGCTTGTACGAGGAGAAGAGGGGCGGCTCCTCTGTGCTCTCGTCCCCCTGGCCCTTGGGCAGCGGTCCCTCGAGGACTACCACATCCACCTCTCCATTTGCATACTTCTGAGCCAGTTCTTCTGGGCTCCTGTAGAACTTCCCGTTGTACCACACCTGCTCCACTGTCCATTCCTGGACATTTGTGTTCCCATGATCCACAAGGAGCTCCAGGCCAGTGGGGTGCAAGAAATAGCCTTCAACGAAGCGTTGTAAGATAAACCAAGTGCGGCGCTGGCCAGATGCCAAGCCACGGGGGGCCACGTCGGAGAAGGTCAGGCATCGGCCCTGGCAGTCTTGGAACGAGAAGCCGGTGGTGTTGAGGAAAAACTGATGCAGGGGCTTGGTGGCCTCCTGCAAGGTGTGGAGGAGGAGTTTATACTCGACCTTGGAGATGGGCCTGGAGGCCCAGGAGGCCTGGTGCCTGGACCTGGGCGACAGTGCTCGCAGGTAGGAGGGACGTGGCAGCGGCCCCACAGCAAACTCGGTGACATTGGGGTTCTCCTGGGCTCCAAAGAAGATGGTGGCTCGGGCTTCCCGAACGGGGCGCCTTTCTCCATGATCCAGAAATTTCAGCACATGCTGCTTCTTGGGCAGCAGCATCTCAATGAGGAACACAGAGTTTTTGGCCATGCTCGGGGACCCCGAGGGCTGCAGCCCCAGCTCCTTCCTGGCCTGCAGGAAGCTGTGCACGGCCTTCAGCTCCTGGGCACTGAGGTCTGCAAACACCTCAGCCTTGCCGTGCAGGGTCCAGGGCGGGCGCTCTTCCGCGGCCATCTGCAGCATGAGCACGGTGGCCACTGCCCAGCCCAGTGCCAGGCTCTGTCTCCCCATGGCTCTGAAATGTAGCAGAGCAGAGGGAGAAAGTGGGTTGGTGTCAGGCTAACACCGTGGACAACATGCCCCTTAGCCTCATGGTTTTCCTGTCCCAGCCCAAGCCAGAGGCAGCTGGGGTCCCTGTGGCCCCCCTGCATGGTTCCCAGTGCTGCCCAGGTCCCTGGCTGTGTGTCTGTGGATTTTAATTTTTTTTCTCTCTTCTTTTGTCCACAAACTTCTTATAGTTCATGGGCTTTCTTCCTAGACACCCGCTCCCATTGTACCCTTTGGCTCCTCAGCCAAGGGTACTCTGAGTCACCATGGCCAGAGGCCTGGTCCTCAGAAGGCAGAAAGTGCTTGCTGTGTTTTGGGAGGCAAAGAGCTGTATTGACTGAAAAACTGCTTTTTTATGCAACACAATACTTTTTACGGAGATAAATTTCAAAATTTAGCGTAGACGTTTAAAGGGTAGGTTTAAAGGGTCAGGCTGCCTGGGTTTGCATTCTGGTAAGTTACACCTTTAGGACTGGCTGTGTGACCTGGGGCATGTTGCTTAAACTCTCTGGACCTCCATTTTCTCTTCCATGTAATGGAAATGACAGCAACACCTACCTCCTAGGACTGTGGAGAGAAGACAACTGCACAGGTAATACAATGTTTGGAGTGATGCGGGCTTTAGGGGAAACACACACAAAGCACCGGCTACTCTTCCTCTTTACAGTGGACGCTGTTGATACGGCCTGTGGACACCGGCACAGGAGGGTTCAAGCTCTGCTGAGTGATTCTGCTGAGATGGGGCTCTGGGGTGAGGATGAGGCCAGTCCTGTCCAGCTTTCTGTGGTCCCCATGGGGCAGCTGTGTCGCGGTCTCTTAACCCCTGCAGCTGTAGAAGGCACCTGGTGGGGTGCCCTTTCCCCTTTCCTTTTGGGAGAAGGGTGTGATCAGGGACCCACCCTCTCGAGCTACCTGTAAAGTCTTGTGTGTGAAGCTGAGAGCAGACCTAGGTGGCTGCCTCTCTGTCCTCTCTCGTTCCTGGGTGGAACCACCTGCTAGACCTGCTGTGCCGAGAGTCCCTGGGAGACCCTGGCTCTTGCAAGGTATGCTGGTTGCAGCCACTGGCTGTCACCGTCCCCCTGCCCTGGGTCCCCCAGACCCTGAACTGCGGTCGGGCTTTGCTGGGATGCTACCAGAGACCTGTCCTTCCTTCCAGGACAGCTGCCCTTGCTGCCTGCCACCGACTTCCTGAAGGTTTGGAGTCTCCCTGGGCCTTACCCGCCAGGTGGTGCCCTAGGTACAGAGGCCCCGAACCCTAACTTGGCATATGAATGGCCAAAGGCCCCTAGAGGTCCCTGCTTTTGTCTCCCCCACCAGAGCCCCTGGGGCTGAATCTGGAGCAAACCCTTTCTCCTGTGCAGGCAGAGGCGCAGAGGGTCTGGGGTCTGCCTTGCTCAGCCTGTTCCAGCCCAGAGCCCCACCAGTGGGGGCGGGGTGCTGGGACTCAGTGCACTTGGCTGGACTCAGTTGCATCCCTGGAACAAGGGAAGCATCCTGGTGCTGCATCAGGCATGCGAGAGAGGACACCAGAGAAAGGGAACCTGAGATCCGGGCGCTTTGCATTTTTTTGCTTTTTGGAAAAAGTCTTTCATGCGTCAATTATGTGACTCAAAAGCACTAGGAACACAATGCACCCTCCAGAGACGCTCAGCTCCTACGTGTTCCTTTCCCGCCTGGTTTTCTCTGTCAAGTTCACATCCTATGCCTCCTTTCAAAGTTGGCTTAAACCCTGCCAAGGAGCTTTCTGTCTTGGGCCTTTCAAGCTTATTTCAGTTCCCCACTCAGTCCCCTCGGCATTGTGGCCTTTAATTTGTACACTGATGCATGGGTCAGTGAAAAGTGGTTGCTGTGTCCATTCTATCATCGGATGAGCTGGTGGGCTCCTGGGAGCCCCAGCTCTTCTTTCCTTGGGTCTTCTGGCCTTGGTGGCCCTGGTGGTCACAGTCAAGGCTGTCTGAGAAGTCCTCTCTGGTCTCCCAGATCCCAACCCCCTGACTCTCACGTTGCTCTGGTTTTGTTCACCATGGGGACTTCCCGGTAGTGGCCCTGTCTTGTTCTTCTGGTGCTAGTGGGATGGCCTAGGGACCCAAACTCCTTGTGCTTTCAAGGCCCAACCTGAAGGGAGTGGGTGAGCTGGGGGCTGCTGGGTGAAGCTAGGGCCAGCAGGGTACAGGCTGGGCTCCTGTTCTACTGTTAAACTTTGGCCAACCCCTCATCCATCTCTCTCTCTCTCTCTCTCTCTCTCGTATAAGTGTACGTGTTTCATTCTGGGGGCAGTTTTAGGTTAGTAGCAAATTGAGCAGAAGGTAAGAGAGCTCCCACTTTTTCCTGTCTCCCCAGTCCCCACTATCAATGTCCCTGGTGGTCCAGTTACGGCTGATGCACCTACAGTGACCACCACAATCTCTCAGGTCCCTTGTTTACCTCGGAGTCACTCTTGGTGTTGAAGTCCAGTGGATTTTGGCAAATGTAAATGGACATGTGTCCACCCTTACCGTGTCACACAGAGTAGTTTCACTCCCTGAAACCCCCTGCGCTCTGCCTATTCATCCTTTCCGCCCCCCGACCCTTGCCCGCCACGGCTCTTTTCCTGTCTTCAGGTTTGGCCATTTCCAGAATGTCCCTCCAGCATGCGGCCTCGTCAGATGGCTCCCTTCACTTAGTCATGTGTAATTAGGGGACCTCCTTGCCCCTTCACGGGGGGCCTCCCTTTTTACAACCTTCTATTCCCAGATTTCTTTCTGCTTTTCCAAGGAGGAGGGAGATGCAGAAGGGACCTTGACCTTGCCCAGCAACACCCTCTGTTCCAGCGCCACCCTCCGTTCCAGTGCATCAGGGAGGTGGAGACGGAGACAGAGAACCGCCTGGCCCGGGAGCCTTCCGAGCTGCTCACAGAAGCACGAGTGCCCCCCAGCCCCTGGCCACTCCTCGTGCACCCTCTCGCACCCCCAGGAACCCTGGAGCCTCCTGAGCCGGGCTCTGGGCTCTGGCACCTCTGCCCTCCTCCTCTGTGTCAGGGTTCTCTTGCCCCTGGCTCCCTGCTCGTCCCCTTCCCTGGCAGCCCCCTCTCGTGCCCCATCAGAACGCACCTGTGCGCTGGGCTCCCAGTCGCCTCTCTGTCAGACTTTGTTCCTAGGCATTGACCCCTGACACCTTCTTGAAGTCTATTGGACCCCGCCCCGCAGGGAGGGACAGGGTGAGGTATGGGCCGACCAAGGTGGGGACCTCCCTCTCAGGGGTTCCCCAGTAGCGGGGGATGCCGGGCGCTGGCAGTTACAACACGTGTCCTGCTCTGTTTCCTTATCATTTGGCCACAGTGCCAAGTTCCCCGGGAACTGTCCTTGGCTTCCTCTTTTTCAAATATGCAATACCATAATCTGTGTACATAGTGTCACAATTCAGAAGTGAGGACAGGGGGGATTTACGGGCTGACAGACTCACCTGGAGCAGACATATGGACCAAGAAGCTGACACCCACAGCAAGACAGGGAATTCAACCCCTAGGCCGAACAGGGAGCCAGAGACACAGAGGCCACTGACTTAAGAAACCTTTGTCACCACCTCTGGGACCTGACAGGATTCAGAAAGGAGGGAGGATGCAGCTGGGGGGCAAGACAGTCAGGTTCGCTAAGGCAGAGAGCAGAGGCCAAGGGCAGCTGGGGACAGGCAACACCTCTGCACAGAGGGGACAGAACCAAGGGCCCAGTTAGGGGGAGCTTAACCTTAATCTAACAAACATGGATGAGGCCGGAGCAGCTCCGGGGTAGAGGGACAAGCATACAGTCCGCCAAAGAGCGTGGCTAGGAAGAACCAGAGGTCCTTATCTCCTTGGTCACTGAGGCGGCTTGCTCAGAGATGGCATCTGATCATGTGTTTGTGTTCTTGTATCTCTCACGAGAACGCTGGCGTTGAAGTCATGTCAGTGTGTCCTGGCAGCTAGATGAAGGACGGAAATGATTACCTATCTCCGTGTTGGACTTGCAATTCTGGAAGGTCTTTGGTGTCTCTGGAGGGGGATTAGCTTTAAAGGCCAAAATGATGATGGCCACAGTGAAGATGGAAGCTTGCATTTTCCACTCTTCATGTCCCCTAGGAGGGACACTTGGGGACTCTCTGTCATGGACTCACCATCTCCATGGAGAGTTAGGAGAGCTTGGGCCAGAAGAGGGACAAATTGATTTTGAGAAGTCTGACCTGTTTGTCTTCCACAAAGGACAGAGAGACTGGCATGAAGACAGACTGGAGAAGACAGGTCCCAACTCACACCACAACAGCCCACTCAAAATGGAACAAGTCCTAAATGCAAGAGCCAAAGGCACAAAACTCAGAAGAAAAGAGAGGAATAAATATTCTTGATCTCGGGGGCGGCAAGGGCTTCTTAGGAGCCACCCCAAAGCCCCAAAATAGCACAAAACAAACAAAACGAAACAGGTGAACTGGATGTCATCAGTGCTTTGAAGGCCACTAACAAGAAAGCAAGAAGGCAGCCCGCAGGCTGGGGAATGTCTGAAGATGATGTATCTGATGAAAGTACATAGTACATATGAGGAATTCACAGCTCGAGAATAAAAGACACCAATTAAAAACTGGCAAAGGATCCGAACAGACATCCCTCCTAGGAAAACGTTCAAAGGGACGGGAGCTCACGAAGAGATCATCAGTCACCAGGGAAACGAAGATCAAAACAACAAGTACATTCAAACCCGCCATTAACGAGGCTGGAAGACTCAGTGAGTCGTCAGCAGCTGCAGCTCTCCTTCTCTGCTGTGGGACTTCAGGAGTCATTGTTCCTGCCCAACCACACCCTGGAACCCTGCCGGCTGGAGAAGCTTTAGGTTTTAGTCCCCTTCACCCCTCCTCCCTCCTCCCTGAGCACTGTTCTTTACTTCTGTAGATCAACGTTTTTGTGTCCATGTTGGCCTTCTGTGCCTGGCCTCTGGCACCTAATGTAATGCTCCTCAGTTGTTCATGTTGCTGGTTATGGTCTGGATGTGAGCTGTCCCCTGCACCCCCACCCAAAAGCTGGTGTGTGAGAAAATGCAAGATTTAGAGGATGAATAATTGGGTTGTGAGAACCTTGACCCAGTCCGTGAATTAATCCCCTGGTGGGATTCACTGAGTGGAGGCTGGAGGCAGGTAGAGGGTGGCTGAGGAGGGGTGTTGGGGGTGTGGCTTTGGGGCACATATTTTGTATCTGGCAGGTGGAGCCTCTGCTTCCTGCCCGTCACGCCAGCCTCACCTCGAGCTCTGAGGAATGGAGCTGGCTACCTAGGACTGAGACCTCCGAAACTATAAGCCCCCAAATAAACTTTTCCTCCTTTAAAATTCCTGTTGTTAGGTCTTTTAGTCACAAAAGCAGAAAAAGCTGACTAAAACATTGCCACAAATCAGGATTTCTTAACACCAGGAAAGTACGAGTGTCTGAGATGACAGGGGTGCCTAATACTGTACTCACCACACATTTACACAACCATTGAAAGGCCACACTGTACCCCCCGAAATATGTACAATTACTATGTGTCAATTAAAAGTGAAAAATTAAAAACCAATGGTGAGATACCACTTCGCACCCACTAGGGTGGCCAGAATAAAAAAGTGATAGACTAAGTGCTGCCGGATCCTACCCACCTGGTGGCAATGGAAAACGCAGGCACTTGGAAAACTGGCAGCTTTCCAAATGATTAAGTATAGAGCTTCCAAATGACCCAGCAATTCCACATCTAGGTAAATAACCAAGATAAATGAAAACATATTTCCACATAGAAGCTTGTACACTAATGTTTATAGCAGTGTTATTAATAATTGCCAAAAGGTAGAAGAAACTCAAATGCTTATCAACTGTTAAGTGCATAAACAAAATATAGTAGATCCATATAATGGAATATTATTCAGCTATAAAAAGTAATGAACAAAAAAGGGGAATTTATCAACAGGGTATAACATGGGTGAACCTTAAAATCATTTTCTTAAATGAATAAAAGCCAGTTATGAAAGACCACCTATTGTATGGTTCCATTTATATGAAATGTCCAGATTAGGTAAATCTCTATGCAGAGCACAGAAGTGCACTGGTGATTTATGAGGGCTGGGTGGGTTGGCGGGATGGTGTAGGAACTGGTGGGCATGGGGTTTCTTTTTGAGTTCATGATAATTTTCTAAAATTGACTGGCAATGTGTGTACCTCTATGTGAATGTACCATAGTCCATCGGTACCTACACGTTGAATGGGTGAACTGTAAGATGTTTAAGTGGTGTCTTAACAAGACTGTTTAAACAAAAGTGAAGGGTCTACTACCTAGGATATGCAAAGAACTTTTGAGAATCAGCTGGAGAGAGGCAGCACTCGAATGGAAACCTGGGAAAAGTATCTCTAAGGCAACTTACAGAAGAGAAAACAGAAAGGGCTAAAGAGACATGAAAAATGTGGTGGTTATTAGAAAAATTCCAAGTATTCAACAACGAGATGTAATTTTACACGTATGATGAGCAGAAATGAGAAAGCTGGATGAGGCCAAGTGCTTCAGGGGATGTGGGGAAATGGGAACTTCAGGTGTGGCTTGTGGGGAGGGGACATAGACGGGACAGCCATCCCGGAGTGCAGTCTGCAGAGCATGAACAAACGAGATCACGGCATGTCCTGCAGACCCGCAGGCCTGCCTCCAGGGACATATGCCAGAGAGATTTCCACACAGGCCGCTAGGGAGGACAGAGGAATGAGCTGTCCGTGGGGAGGGACAGCTGGAGGCCACCAGGGGCCCATCCCTGGGACGGTGGTCAGTGCACACCATGTGGCTGTGCATGCAGAAATGTGGGCGTCCACACAGCAACTCACAAGGGTGGGTCTTAAGGTGAGTGACAGCAGCATGTGTCACACACATTAAAACACATGCACGAAGCCACCTGAGACCTTCCCAAGGGCTCCTGTGTATAGAAGGATAACTGAACGCGTTAGAACGCCTCCTGGCCAGGGATGTGGGTGAGAATGCATGCACACACACAGGCAGACAGACACACACACACACAAGAGGGAGGAGAGGGGCCTTGCCTGGGCCTCTGAGGTAACACCAGGCCTGACATCACACTTGGCTCAATTCCTCAGCGAATGTCCACAATTAAATTAAAGAAGGACCCGAGGAGACAGGCTGAGTGCCGGCAGGTCGTCAGCCCAGGGTGCAGGCGGCCGTGGGATCAGGCACCACAGGTCTCACGCCTGGGCCTGGGAATTGGAGGGCAATTGGAGGGCGCACGGAGGACCTACAGAGAGTTAGTAGCATGAACAGATACGACTGGAGGGCTACTTGAGAACCGGCCTGTGGGGTTGGAAGGAGATGGCACGACGGCAGCCCCCCAAGCCCTGGGGTTCCCTCTGCATCAGCCTCGTCGGGCTGCTAACCAGGCACCACAGCAGAGGGTTTAAAGTAACAGAAATGACTCGCTCACAGTTCGGAAGTCTGGAATCGGTGCCACAGGGCTGGCTCCCTCCGAAGGCTCACTGGCGGGCGTCTTTCTTGCTTCTTCCAGCTTCTGGTGCTCTGGCAAACCTTGGCATCTCCCTGGCTCCTTGGTTTTCGATGCCTCACTCCAACCTCCGCCCCTGTCCTCATGTGGTGTCCCCCCCGTGCCTCTTCGGTTTTTATAAGGACACTTGCCACTGGATTAAGTCACCACCCACCCTATTCCATCTTAGCTAACCCATCTGCAATGACCCTATTTCCAAATCAAGTCACACTTTGCAGCCTGGGATGGACATGAATTTGGGGACAACACTATACAATCCGGCACACCCTATTTACGTGCTGCATTGTGGACAGCTGGGCCCCGAGCTTTTTTTTTTTTGGCACTGGAGATTGAACCCAGGGCCTGTTAGCACTGAGCTACATCCCAAGTCCTTTTTTAATTTAATTTTATTTTTTTTAGTTTGAGGCAGGGTCTCACTAAATTGCTTAGGGTCTCACTAAGTTGCTAAGGCTGGCCTTGAACTTGGGATCTTCCTGCCTCTGCCTCCTATGCCACTGATGTTACAGGTGCCTGGCCAGCCCAGAGCAGGTGAGTGAATTCTGTGTCCCCAGTGGGGTGGGTGTCCTTGGCCCTGGAGTTCCAGAGAGGAGTCTGCCTGGGGCTTGCGGTGGTCAAGGACCTTGGAGGAGGAGCACTGTCCGGGT